GCTGCCGTTGGTATATTAAAACATGCTCAATTGCATTAAGAACTCCAGCTAAAGGAAACATGGCACGAAAAACTTCAAAGATGGGATGACGCATTGAAGGCGTATAACGAAAGAGAAAAGCTCGAGCCTGATAACATGGAGGTGATCATGGGTAAAATGAGATGTTTACACGCTTTGGGTGAATGGGAGCAACTATCAGAATTAGCTCAAAGTAAATGGAACTCCTCCACTAACGACATTAAAAGAAGTGTCGCGCCTTTAGCTGCGGCTGCAGCTTGGGGTTTAGGCCAATGGGATAGAATGGATGCTTATATAAAGGTGATGAAATCCGAGTCACCCGATAAGTCTTTCTTTAGTGCCATCTTGAGTTTACACAGAAACAATTTTGAAGATGCATCCAATCACATCTTGAATGCGAGAGATTTATTAGTCACTGAAATCACGGCATTGGTGAGTGAAAGTTATAATAGAGCTTACGGTGTTGTGGTACGGGTTCAGATGTTGGCAGAACTTGAAGAAATCATTAAGTACAAGTGCTTGCCTCTGGGCTCTGAAAAGAGAGCACTTATGCGCAAAACTTGGAATGCACGTCTTCTTGGCAGTCAGCGAAATGTTGACATATGGCAGAGGATGTTAAAGGTGAGGACACTCGTCATAAAACCTAAGCAAGATATGGAGATGTGGATTAAATTCGCTAACTTGTGCCGGAAGTCTGGAAGGTTCAATTTGGCCGAAAAGTCTTTGAATAGCTTGTTGGAGGAAGGTTCACCAGAAAATCCATCACGGGCGCCACCACAAGTTGTTTATGCGCAATTGAAGTATATGTGGGCCAAAGGACAAAGGAAGGAAGCTCTTCGGCATTTGGTGGACTTTACAACGCGTATGTCTCAAGATTTAGGATTGAATCCTAACGACTTGATCACCCAACCAATTCCACTGAACGGACCTGGTGTTCCGAAGCATGTGGAAGAGTATACACGTCTACTTGCTAGATGTTTCTTGAAGCAAGGTGAATGGCAAGTTGTTTTAAATAACAATTGGAGAACAGAAACTTCTGAAATTATTTTAGGCGCCTACTTGCTAGCCACACACTTCGATAGCAAGTGGTACAAGGCCTGGCACAACTGGGCTTTGGCAAACTTTGAAGTCATAACCCTTCATACCCAAAATAATCGCGTTGAAGTTTCTAACGGCACCACGCATGCTTCGGAGACTCAAGAAAAGCAAGTCCCAACAACAGGAGGTCATTTCAATTGATGTTGTACAACGCCACGTAATTCCTTCCATTGAAGGTTTCTTTCATTCGATCGCTTTGTCACAATCCAACTCCTTGCAAGATACATTAAGATTGTTGACATTATGGTTCAAATTTGGTGGAATTCCTGAAGCCGCACAGGCTATGTCAGATGGTTTTGGAATGGTGAAAATTGATAATTGGTTGCAGGCTGTTCCACAGTTGATTTCCCGGATTCATCAACCAAACCAGATAGTCAGTGCATCCTTGTTGGGGCTCTTGACAGATTTAGGAAAGGCCCACCCTCAAGCCTTAGTGTATCCATTAGCAGTTGCTGTTACTTCAGAGTCTGTTAACAGAAAGAAGGCTGCATTGTCTATTATCGACAAGATGAGAATTCATTCAGCGACATTAGTTGAACAATCCGAGTTGGTGAGTCATGAATTAATCCGTGTGGCAGTATTATGGCTTGAACAATGGTACGAAGGATTGGAAGATGCTTCAAGATTATTCTTTGGCGAACATAATACGGAGAAAATGTTTGAAGTATTAGAACCTTTGCATAAAATGCTTCAAAAGGGACCAGAGACGATGCGTGAAGCATCTTTCAACAATGCTTTTGGAAGGGAGCTTGCCGATGCTTATGAATGGGTATTAAATTATCGCAGGACAAAGGATATCACAAACTTGAACCAGGCTTGGGATGTTTACTACAATGTATTCCGCAGGATTAGTAGACAGTTACCGCAACTTCAAAGTTTGGAATTACTGTTCGTGTCACCAAAATTAGAAGCGATGAAAGACTTGGAGCTAGCTGTGCCAGGTAGCTATGAGCCAGGAAAGCCTATTGTTAAAATTGCGAAATTTGAACCAACTTTCACTGTGATTTCTTCAAAGCAACGACCAAGAAAATTGGTTTGCAAGGGAAGTGACGGTAAAGATTATCAGTACTTGTTGAAAGGACATGAGGATATCAGACAGGATAACCTTGTGATGCAATTATTTGGATTAGTCAACACGTTACTTCTCAATGACACTGCTTGTTTCAAGAGACATTTAGACATTCAGCAATTTCCAGCTATACCACTATCTCCAAAAGTGGGTTTGTTGGGCTGGGTTCCTAACAGTGATACTTTCCACGTCTTGATCAGAGAATACCGTGAGTCGAGAAAGATTTTATTGAATATTGAACACAGGATTATGTTACAAATGGCCCCAGATTATGATAGTTTAACACTTCTTCAGAAGGTTGAAGTTTTTACTGGAGCATTGGATAATACCCGAGGTCAGGACTTGTATAAAGTTTTATGGCTCAAGTCTAAGTCTTCGGAAGCCTGGCTTGATCGTAGAACAACATACACTCGTTCTTTGGCAGTTATGTCTATGGTCGGATATATCCTCGGTTTAGGAGATAGGCATCCATCAAACTTGATGCTTGACCGAATTACTGGTAAAGTTGTTCATATTGATTTTGGAGACTGTTTTGAAGCTGCTATTTTGCGGGAGAAATACCCAGAAAAAGTTCCGTTCAGACTCACAAGAATGCTCAACTATGCAATGGAAGTCAGTGGAATAGAAGGTTCGTTTAGAATCACTTGCGAACACGTTATGAGGGTGTTACGGGACAATAAGGAGTCATTGATGGCCATTTTGGAAGCATTCGCATATGATCCATTGATCAATTGGGGTTTTGACTTCCCTACAAAGGCATTAGCCGAGGCAACAGGGATTAAAGTGCAACAACATAATACAAAAGAGATGTTGAAGAAAGGTGAAATTGACGAGGAGGAGGCCAATAGACTTAACAAGCTCAATGCTTTGGAGATTAGAAATGCCAGAGCTGCTTTGGTCCTTAAGCGCATCACTGACAAATTAACGGGCAATGATATCAAAAGATTGAAAAATTTGGATATTCCAACGCAAGTGGATAAATTGATTCAACAAGCTACAAGTGTGGAGAATTTGTGTCAGCATTACATTGGCTGGTGTTCCTTCTGGTAAGAAAGGCACAACAGGTTAAAAAAAAGAAAATATGAATAAAGAGACTGCAATTTGAGAGCGGTAGCAAAACAAATGTTTATGATCTTATAAGCTTCATGTAACTATTATACACTCTATTTGTAGTAGATAAGTCTATGCGATTTTCTTGGAGGCACTCGTGAATCCACTGCCTTTAATGGAGACAGTCATATAGTTATCCTCACCTTCATCTGCTCCATCTTTCAAGAAGGCTTCAGTGCTGAATATGCTTTTGAGATCTCTCAAGAACCACACAAATTGCTCATCCACCTGCTCCTTGTGCACTTTTAATCTTCCAATATCTTCTTTTCCAATAGCCATGTATGCTAAAGCTAACTTGAGCTGATTGCGTCCCAAGCATGTGCACTTAGTCAATTCTTCAAGAAGCTCGTACGCAACTTTTTCACCCAAATCTTCTGGCAAAGAACCAGCAGAGCCAGTACCCTCCGCAAAAATTCTCCAACCTCTTTTCAGCTCGGCTACTAAAGTGACGCCAAATCCAGGGGATTTTCCCGAATTCTCTCCTCTCCAAACGTCTGCGGTGATGTTCACTTCAATGCCTGTAGGTCTCAACACTTTCCGTGCGGTTTCTATTATTCTGTTCACCACAGAAGGAGACACTCTCGTACAGTATGCCACTCCTCTAATTGCAGACATTTTTGGAATATCAAGAGCATGTAAAGTTAAAGGCTGTGCAATAAGCGAGTTGCACAAGAAGTGCACTTCTCCTCCTCCCAAAGGTGGAGCACCTCTTTTCAAGACATGCAATTCCACTTCCCTCACGCCAAACTTCTCCATCACAGGGATAAGTCCCCATTTTATAGCTTCTACACCACAATCCCTTGTCTTGTCCGAGCTTGTGAGACCTCTGAGAACAATGGAGAACTTCTTCTTAGAGAACGGAGCCAAAAAAAGCAAGGGCTCCAAGAAGTACCCAATGGGTTTATCACCAGAACAAGAATGGGTGACCTGACCTCCAATGATAATTCCCGGCTTGTAAATAACTGTCGTACCAGTGTAAGAAATCTCAATATGGGATCCATTGGTGACTGCCTCCAATAGACGCAAAAATGACACTTCGTAGTCTTTCAAACCTGGGTTCATATCATTTGGTCTTATCTTGGTGATTTTTATTTGCTTTCCTGCCAACGTGGCAAGGGCTAGCCGTAAACGAAAGTTTCGGGCTCCTTCAAAGACAACTGATCCGTTAGACATGCTATTTGTGTAGGTATGATGTTCTTCACTTGATCTGTCTCTTAAATTTTTGTGAGATGAGCATCATAAGTGTGCACAGTGCGATTGTATACTTGCAAAAGATAACTACAACATTTCTTAACTACCAAAGAGAAATGTAGTAGTCATGAGTTAATCACCACAGCAAAATATGATGCAGCCAGCTGCCATTAAAATTACATTGTTCTGTCCATTTATCATTGGTAGAACTCAATAATACATGCGCAACGAGGCACCTAGATACCTCCACTTAGATTTGAAGCGCTACAGAGAAAACATTAGCCACACGTAGTATATGTATACCGAAAAGATAAGGCATTCTTTTGATGTAAAGCAAAATCACCTCATGAAGCACATTGTCGAAGGTCCGCCGACACTCATGGTGCGCGCGCGACCATTTAAAAAGAGTTACGCATCAACTACTAAACATATACCTGTTTGAACCATCTGTCCCCATGTCTCTGAGTAGCGGATCTGGTACGCCTGGGGCATCAAAACGACCAGCGGAAGATGTTTCAACGCCTGGCAATGAAAATAAGAAAGTGAAAGCCGAGGTTCTGGAAAATCCACTTGACGACGCCCATCTAAATGGTCTTTTCGACCCACTCCCATTTGAAACCAAAGGAGGCGCTATTGACAGTGGATTTGACTCATCGAATGCTAAATTTGAAATGCCTGACTTCCTTGCTGATAGATTGGACGTGTCCACGCCACCAGTTAATAATGGCTCTGCTCTGGCAGCAACGTCCAAGTCGCCAGCGGCGACTTCGATGGGAGCGGGAACTCCAACAGATTCAAAATTTTCAGGGGCTATTACCAATAATGCAGACAATTCAGCTAGCGGCTTCCAGAAAACAAACGCCCAGACATCATACAACAATGCTAACCTCACCAATGTTCTGTCTCTTCCCCGCGTGAATTCAACTAGTCGTGTTCCTGATTATCATCAGGGCCAAGCTAGCAATTCTCCAGCAACTGCTCCGGAACTCTATCAATCCTCATCGAGCATAAATGTATCCTCTGCATATCCATATCAAAAAACAACAGCTGGATCTATGTACCCTAATCAGTACCGTGCAAACGCAGGCACGCCGGGCCCACAATACAAGCCCAGTACCCGCTTTGACCCGAAGAAGACTTACCCAGCTCCAACAGGTGTGCCAAACATGACTAATGCTGGACCTGCCATGACAGGCTACGGAGGGGGTAATGCAGGTTCAACTCAAGATAAAGATAAGCCAGCAGATCCATCGAAGCTTAATGATGCGCTTGCTGCTGCTGGAGTGGACATCCAAAGAGAGGAAGAATTACTTTCTATTCAAAATAATAGGACTGCTATCAATCTTCACCAACAGCAATTTGCCAACAGACAAAGACAAACTTTCGGACCCATGGGGTCGTTCCTCCATCCATACCACGTGGCTTTATTCATGAACAGAACAGCAAGAGAAAATGGCGTGGCGCAAAATTTTATGGTTGACCCGGAAATGCTTGATTTCATGTCTGCTGCTTGCAAAGAGTGGCTATCTTCAATCGTCATGAAGACTATTGCTCTCGCACGTCACAGAAGAAGAGGAATTCCAGCATTCAACAACAAAAATGGAAATTCAGGTGGAAAACCCAAGAGCATACCTCCTCTGCAAAGATCGGAAGTGTCCAAAGAATTGCGTAATTTGGCTCTTAGGCAGAAAGAGCAAGAGGAGAGAAGAGTCGCTAAAAGATTGGCTCTTGGGCTTGAAAAGTCAGACGACGTTGCTCCTGAAACAGGGAATAAAGTTGGCGCAGAAGAGACATTGCATCGGGCAGCTAATGCTACTGCGGCCATGATGACCATGAACCCTTCAAGAAAGAAGTATTCGTGGATGACGTCCGGTGCGTCAGATGGCGGAGACGCTGGGAAGGCTTCCCCAGCGAAAGATAGTTCTTCCAAGCAAAGTTCACTTATCTCAACACGGGGTGACAATGGCTTACGATACCGCGAGATCAGAACAGGTAACATGGTCACAACTAAAGATTTACTTGGGGTATTAGAGGATGAACGTATGGGTACATCCAAAGCATTGATCAAGGCTATGCGAAGTTGACGACTAAATTTGTATTTAATTAACGATCTCTCATGCATCTTGTAATTTAAACGGGCCTTCTTTGGAAGGCATCTTGTCCGTTCTGACAGTGATCGGAAACATCTAATTATACAGTAACAGAAGGAGAGAAAAACTTAGAACAAGATTTCGCCCTTTGCATTACAATATTCTCCACAAGCAACCACTAGAGTGATGATGTCCACGAGAAATTATTGTAACCATATACAATAATTGCGATATTATGAGTAGGAATACTGGTTCTTCAAGTTAAAGCCGTATGCCCAGGTTTTAAACCAGTTTACAAATGTGGACAAAAACTCAAATTTCGATCTCAGTTAAATGAAGGTTTAGTTTACCGATCCATGTAATAGTAATAATGACGGTCTTATCAATCTTAGTAGTGTCATGTATGGGCGACCTTTACATGCAAGCGAACACAATCTTGTGCGCGAAACTACGTCTCTGTTTACCTTTGGGAAGTGGCGAGTACTATAGCTACAAAACAATGGATTTTTCTCTTTCCACCTATTATAATGCCTTTGACGTGGAAAAGCAGTACGATGTTGATCTTTCCAATGTGAATGATACCCTTCAGAGAGTGACAAACTCCCTAGCACATAGTCCTGATGCTATATGTCAAGATGAGCAGCTTTTGGAAGATTTGATCGATTTGCTGCATTCATTCCTTTCTCTCGACCTGAAACAGAGGAAGCAAGTGGCCTACTTGATTTCCTCTTCATTCAACAATGCTTGCCACAACACGAAGCAGCTATTGGACATGGGCGATTTCATGGATCTGATTGATATACTCAAAGCAGTATTAGAAAGATTTGGTTACTTGATTTTTGTGACACTAAGTTTCTTGGGAAAAGAGGAATTTCCTGGTAGCGGTAATCTGCGACTGAAGCAATCTTCCGTTAACTGGAAAACCAATTGCACTGAAGTTGAAGACGCGCTAGCTGCTATTACAACTTGTCTTCAATTGGACTTATCAAAAATCTTCGTGACAACTCCAGAAAAGAATCAGTTTCTTGAAATGTTCATCCGCCCTATCTTTCATCTCATGGAATTACCTGACAGAATGAAACTGATATCCATCAAGGCTCTCATGTTCCGTAACATTGCATTTTCTGTTACTCGGCATTCGCTTGCATCGGTTGTTCAGAACTTGATTATGCAAGCTCTTACATACTATCCACATTTACCTCCTTACATGGCTGAGCTCCTTTTTACGCTTAACTCTCAGTTTGACTATCCCTCTTTGACGGAGGATCTTCTTCGTGAAATCAGTCAATTGGAATTCAATTCCAATGATTCAAACGGCCCCAAGGCTGTCTCTGAGTTCTTGATTAAACTCTCTGAATTGAGTCCCAGAATTATTTTGAAGCAGATGTCGTCTACCGCACAGCTCTTAGATAACAGTAATCAATCACTACGTTGTTCTGTTGTCGAAACATGTGGCAATATTGTTATTGATATCTTGAAGTCTGAAGCACAGAATCCTGAGTCCATAGACGAACACATGGAGCACCAGAATATGCAAATCGATGGTCTTCTAAATTTATTGGAAGAGAGATTCTTAGATCAAAATCCATTTGTGAGAACAAAATCGATTCAAGCGATTACTAAAATTTGCTCTTCATCAGCAAGAATACCTAAGAGACGGCAAGGATTTATGTTAATAGCTGTTCGGTCTCTTGGTGACAAGAGCACTTTGGTTAGAAGAAATGCAATCAAGTTGATGTGTAAACTCCTCTTGACACATCCATTTTCAGCTACCCATGGTACTCAACTTACACATTCAGTCTGGAGCGAACGACTAAAAGAAGCCGAATCAGAGCTAAATAAGTATATGCCGGTAACTTCGTATACCAAGAAGAAAGAGGACGGGAAGGATTCTGATGACGACAATGAAAACTCTCCATCTGACTCTGACATTGATCATGAAGAGTTGAACGAGTCAATGATGGAACAAGAGAGCCGTCTCCCAGATAAAGCAACGCTCATAAAGCTTAAGCTTACTGTTCAGTATTACCAGGATGCTATCGAGTTCATCGAAGCGATAGAGGAAGGTACATCCGTGGCATCCTCCCTCTTGTTCTCTAAGAACAGAAATGAAGTCTTGGAGGCAATGGATTTCCTTGTCCTTTCAGACGCATATGGTATTGAAAACTCACAGAAAGGCATCCGCCGTATGCTTCACTTAGTTTGGATGAAAGGTTCGTCGGATGAAGGTAAATCGATATCTTCTCACCTTATTGATTGCTACAAGCAGTTATTTCTTACGGCACCACCGAATGCTTCGGCTTCTCAAACTGCTATACTCTTTGCAAAGAATCTAATTGGTTTAACCTTCTCTGCATCAGTGGCAGACTTAGCATCTTTGGAGAAACTCTTGTGTCTATTATACGAAGCAAAACTTATTCACAATGAAGTTATAAATGTGTTATGGCACATCTATAATAAGGCAGGACTGCAAGAACCCGAGTATAATGAGGCAAATGTGCATGGAGCTATTATTATCTTAGGCATGTTATCTCTGTCTGATGCTCTGATTGTCCAAAGAGGCTTAGATTCACTACTCAGAATTGGTTTGGGTGACATTGGAAAACATGACTTACAGTTATGTAAATTTTCTTGTTCCACTTTACTGAAAGTCATAAAACTGAATACGAACACAGGCTCCGACTTCAATACAAGTGGCGACCCCGTGGCTTACTTGCGAAATATCTTGTTATTGTATACTGAAAATACCGAATGGTATGAAGTGGCAGAACAGGCAATCACCGCTATATTCAAAATCTCACCCGATCCCATTAAGGTATGCACAGACTTTCTTAAAGTCAAAGCAGAGCAGGCATTCGAATGTGACAATGAACAACAATCACAAGCTATTTTTCTTTCCCAGTTGTTTTTCATTGTGGGCCATATCGGAATTCAAACCATTGAGTATTTGGAAAAGCTTGAGACACTTTTCAAAAAAAAGAAGCACGAAGCTGAACGGAAACCAGAGGACAAAAATGAGGAGGGTGAAAATGAACTTGAGATGATTGGAGGAACATCTGAAGATGACTTCACGGATGCTGTCATATACATCAAGGAGAGGGAATTGTTATTTGGTGATAATTCTCTTTTGGCTAGGTTTGGACCTCTCGTGAAGGAAGTTTGCTCAAATAACCACATGTATTCTGACGAAATGTTGCAGAGATCTGCTGTTTTATGCTTGGGAAAGCTTATGTGCATCTCATCAAAGTTTTGTGAAGAGAATCTACCACTCTTCATAACTATTATGGAAAAATCATCTGACCCAGTAATTCGAAGTAATTGTGTTTTAGGATTGGGTGATATGGCGGTCTGTTTCAATAATCTTGTGGATGAAAATACCGATTTCTTATATCGTCGGCTAACTGATGATAATATAATGGTCCAAAGAACTTGTTTAATGACAGTTACATTTTTGATTTTGGCTGGACAAGTAAAGGTTAAAGGCCAATTATCATCAATGGCGAAATGTTTAGAACATCCCGATCAGAGCATCAGTGATATGTGTCGCTTGTTTTTTTCAGAGTTGGCTACAAAAGACAATGCGATCTATAATGGCTTCATTGACATCTTTAGTGGGTTATCCAGTGATGCGGAATTGTCGAAAGATTCTATGAAGAGAATTATTAAGTTCTTGGTCGGATTTATTGATAAGGAGAAGCATCAAAAGCAGCTTTCAGAGAAGCTTTTGGTAAGACTCACGAAGTGCCAGACTGAGTCTCAATGGGAAGACGTGGCTTACGTCTTGAGCGCTATACCTTACAAGAATGACAGTATCACCCAAGCCATAGAAGGAGGTTACAAGATGGTCCAGGCACGGGACTAATACACATAATATAATATAAAATACTCTGAAATTGGCTCTAAATTGGAAAAAGAAATCGGAAAAATGTAGGAAAACGGAGATTAGTGATCTCTGGACCCTCGTCACAATCACGAGGCTCGCGTTTTTGTTGGTTCGTACCTCTAAAATAATCTTGGTCACATGCATGCATATTGCATAGTCCCTAAACAAAACGTTGCACAGTTCATTGTGATTCTTCTATAGTGATGAATAAGGAATGATTACATCTCTCCAGAAATCAATTTCCCAACTACTGGCTGCTTCTGGAATAGATGAAGCCCAGTTCAAGATCTTACTTTGCACATTGCTCTCATTTCCCTTCAGTGCAATTTTTAAAAGACTTCCTGATACCCGCTATTCATTGAAGAATTTCTATGTTGTTGGGGTGTCCGCATTTTACATATTTGGTGTCTTGGATATCAAGTACGGACTCTGGCCTTTAGTGTTCTCTGCGACCGGCTGCTATTTTATTACCAGATACTTGAGAACAGATCTGATGCCATGGATCAATTTCTTGTTTTTGATGACCCATTTATCATACAGTCATATCCACGCTCAATTCTTTAACGAATATGATCCTACGGTGATTGACATCACTGGTGCCCAAATGGTATTGGTGATGAAGCTCTCTGCGTTTGGATGGAACGTTCATGATGGGAAGCAAGCAACACAACCGTCTGAGTACACTAAGCAGAGAGCTATAAAGAAGCATCCTAATGTCCTTCCATATATGGGCTATGTATTTTTCTATCCATCTTTGCTTACTGGTCCTGCTTTTGATTACGTGGATTATGACAAGTTTATCCACAGTACGTTGTTTGATGACGTTCCGGAAGAGAAGCGCCCAGGTAAGAAACGGAAGAGAAGAATTCCTCGAAGTGGAAGACAGTCGTTTTACAAGGTGTGCCAAGGTGTATTTTTTGCATTGTTGTATTTGCAGTTGCCAAAATACGTGAATCTTGATTATGTTTTCAGCGATAGCTTTGTTCTGCGCCATTCATTCCTTTTCAGAATCTTCTATTTATGGATCCTTGGTATCGGACACAGATTGAAATACTATACTATTTGGCTCATAGCCGAAGGTGCATGTATCTTGTGCGGTATTGGATACAATGGATACGATGCGTCCACTAAAAAGTTCAAATGGAACAGAGTGCAGAACATTGCTCCGTTTACCTTTGAAAGTGGGCAAAATGTTCATGTCTGCCTTGAAGCTTGGAACATGAACACTAACAAATGGTTGAAACATTATGTTTACACTAGAATTGCCAGACGTGGTGCAAAGCCAGGATTCAAGAGCACGTTATTTACCTTTGCTACTAGTGCGTTCTGGCACGGCACCAGGCCTGGCTATTATCTTACGTTTGTCATGGGGGCCTTCTTGCAGACTTTGGGAAAGATTTATCGTCGAAATTTGCGGCCTATCTTCCTTGAAGCAGACGGTAAAACACCTAAGAAATCCAAAATTGTGTATGATTTTGTTAGCTGGATCGTCACTCAATTGGCTTTTGGATTTGTATGCCAACCATTTGTGATTTTGGATTTAAAAAAGTCTCTTTATTGTTGGTCAACGGTGTATTTTTATATCCCTATTGCAACAGCCGTTACTCTTTTCTTGTTCAAAGGTCCATATGCTAAACCTATCACCAAATGGTGTCAAAGCATGGCTCCCACTAAACCGGTTGCTATCAAAGAGTCAAAGTTCACGCCTGAGGAAACTGCGAAGGTTAACGACGCAGTCGATCTTATCCTTAATGATAAGAATCAATCTCCAACTTTGGGCTTGCCTCCAATTGAGGCATTGAATGAAGCCAGCAAGGAGGAGTTTGAAGCAGAATTGAAAGACTTGTCGGAAGCATGGTCTTCATTTCTTGCGCGGAAGGAAACGTCGCACAACGACTTGGAAGCTTTAAGGGACGCTTATCATAACTTCACTCAGGAGATCAATGAGATTATACTGGCCAGAACAAACGAGTTGCAGAATGCAACACATACGAAGCAGGAATAATGGAGATGAGAACGAAACACCATTTGGTCGAACGAGAGTTTAATGAGAATTCTATTTAGTTAAATAACTCTACGATTTTTCAATTGCATATTATAGTACTTTTATCGTATTTATACTGCTTCCAACATGATGCATTTTTAGAAGCGCATGGACCAAGCAATGCAACGTTGTGTACAGTCCGCCGTTAGAGAGGCGACTTCTGGGGAATTCACTTCTCGCATACATTATACGATATTGCCTCCTTTTCATCCAAAATGAATCTGTTCATGCGTTTGGGCAATATGCCCTGTCGTTCGAGAATGTCCAACTTTCTTAGAATGTCGTCAACTTCCACTAAATCACCGACAGGTATTGTGTTCATGAACATGGGCGGTCCTAGCACCAGTGGCGAAACTTACGATTTTCTTCTTCGTCTTTTTTCCGACAAAGATTTGATCCCTTTGCCTTTCCAGAAATGGGCTGCTCCTTTTATTGCAAAGCGCAGAACGCCCTCCATTGCGGAAAAGTATGAAGAAATTGGAGGTGGGTCACCTATTCGCAAGTGGCTGGAGTACCAGTGTGAACATGTGTGCAAGCGATTGGACGAAATATGCCCTGAAACTGCTCCTCATAAGCCCTACGTTGCATTTAGGTATGCCAAACCATTGACCGAAGAAATGTTGGTTCAAATGAAGAAAGACGGCATTAAACGTGCTGTGGCCTTCTCGCAATATCCTCAGTGGTCCAGCTCAACGTCCGCATCTTCTGTCCATGAATTGTACCGTCAGACCCAAGTCATTGATCCAGAGCGCTCTATTGAGTGGTCGTTAATTGACAGATGGCCAAAGGACAAATGTTTAGTTAACCCATTTGCGAAACTCATCAAGGAAAAACTCGAGGAGTTCCCTGTTGAAGACAGAGAAAAAGTGATCATTCTATTCTCTGCTCATTCATTACCTATGCAAATTGTCAACAGAGGTGATTCTTACCCTGCTGAAGTGGCTGCATCTGTGTACGCTGTCATGGAAAAGTTGAACTTCTCAAATCCTTATCGTTTAGTGTGGCAGTCCAAGGTTGGCCCTAAGGCGTGGTTAGGTGGACAAACAGCTGATATTGTTGCCAAATTAGAGAAAAATGAAAATATAAAGGGCATTGTCTTGGTTCCAATTGCCTTCACTTCTGACCATATCGAGACCTTACATGAGTTGGACATTGAACTCCTCGATGAAGTCGAGAACAAGCATCTTATCAAGAGAGCTGAGTCTTTGAATGATAACGAAGAGTTTATCGAAGGCTTGGCAGACTTAGTGAAATCTCACCTCCAGTCTGGAGAAGTTTACTCTAAGCAATTAGAATTGGACTGGGAATTGAGCAAAGAGTTCACCAGCTCTACTTTTAGCCATCCCCGTGAGATGTTTGGTCCACAAAAAAGAATAGAATAATTGTGATATAATGAAGGTATATAGTTAATCCGAATCCGAATCTTCATCCGGATCGAAGAGATCTAAATCTAGAGTATTTGGTGCCAGCTCCTCTTTTAGACTGGCATCTGTTGGCTGCTTTGAATGGCCAGGGGATTTCGGAGTATCTTTTGGAGCGACTGTCTTTTGTTCGTCGTTCGATTTAGCCTCGTAGGTTTCCGTCAGTTCCGGCATTTCTGGAGATGCATCTTTCATATCCACATCACGAGCTTGAAGGGTATCGTCACCTAATTCAGATTGAATCAATTCATCGGGTTTGAGTGAAGCAACAGCAAGCATGCCACGCCTCAAAGCGTCTTCGGCTGGCCAAATGTAATTATTGGGGTGTATCATCTGTGACACTACCGTTGCAGGCGCCTTTGAGAATTTTGCCAATTTCATCGAGTAATCAAGGACCTCTTGTACATTGACCTCGTTGATTTCATTAGTGGGATCAACTCTGTCGTGTGCTGCAGCAAGCTTTGGGAGCCGCTTTAATTCTGAACGGCAAGATATCAATTCCTTGAGTATATGCTTAGCCTCTTTGTCAAGCTCATTTTGAGTTTGCAGAAGTAGGTCTATTTTCTTACCCAAATCCAGGTGCTGCCTGAGCACATTCAATTCGGAACTCATAGACTGGGACACATCTATTAGGTCCGCAACTTTCTGTGTAATGGCGTCTTCTTTGAATGAAGAAATGCATTGACTCAAATCCGTGAAAATTTCCTCGAATTGCCGTAGGCTCTGTGTTATGCATAACAGGTTGAATTTTTCTAGTTCTTTGGGTGTTTTAATTTTGGATTGAATATCATTTTGAGATACTGGAAGGTTTTTCGTTGGATTGAGAGACGAAGTGACATATGTAGCACCCGGTGTACCAGGTCTAGATGATATCCTGCTGGGACTAACGTTTAGGTTATTAAGTTGATTCAATCGGTTGGACAGTCCCACTCGAGATACCGGAACCGAAATGAATGACTGGTCTTTTTTATGAGGGAACATGAGAGCAGAATGGTGAGGTGCTAGAGTATTTCACAACGAGTTTCAATGCGCGCGTTTCTCATTCTTCTCTCTCGATAATGTCGCTTCATGAAACGCAATGTTTTCGAGGAATATTCATCGGAATCGGACACTGAGGCTCCAGTGAAAAAGCTGAAGCCTTTCACTGAGCCTGATGCGAACCTTCCTACCATAGCTGTGGGAAATGAAGCACATTCACCGCCAGAGGAGGATTACATGAATTTGAAGCTTGAGGAAGATGAGCCACTGTCCATCACTGAACTCAAACCTAAGCCTATAGAAACATCAATTCTTCAAGATGGGTCAATAGGCTTATCAATCATGCAAAAGATGGGATTCAAAATAGGTCAGACATTAGGTACCCTGGCCTCGGGAATTACTGAACCCATTCGTGTGGATGTTAAAAAGGGCAGAGCTGGAATAGGTTCAAGGCCTAAATTGCCTCAAGACAATAAGATAACTGCTGCGACCATAGAGGAATTTAGATCACATAGCAAATTGAAGCAGAAAGAACGGAGTGATCTATATTATCTTTCGAAATTGCAAAGATATTGCTACGAAGAAAGCGGAGAGGACATTGCTGTCTCAGAAAAAAGGTTGGACCTCAAAGACGTTAATCCTTTGTGGAAGAACTACGCCATCAAAGACGAGAAAGAACCTGAAGCAAGGTTGGCTTTATTTGATAGTGCTGTTGAAGTGCAACATACTACACTGTCTGAATTAGAAACTGAGCTGGATTTTGACACTTTACCACTTGAAGAGAAACTAACTCTACTCATAAAATATAGCCGTGAACATTACTATTATTGTGCTTATTGTGGGTTAAAATTCGTTGATGCCGATGACATGGAAAGGGACTGCCCTGGTCCATTTCAAAAAGATCATGCCTTGTGAGTTTGTTTCCAGATCTAGATGAACAGGTCTAAAAAGGCGTTTTTATGTTCTTGTGATAATTTTTGAGCCTCATTAAGCTGCTCAACTGATAGCATCTCGCTCTGCTCAACAAACTTTAAAGATTCAACCTCCTCCTTACTAAGTTTGCTAAACACAACGTTGTACGGTAGTTCTCCATACAACTGTGGTGGTCGATTTGCGGCAACATATTTTGTATTTTTAGCGGCTGGAACCCAGCGCATTTTTCCTGCGGTGGCTTCATACTCGCGCCCCCATTGTAGAGTTAATCTGTTCCCACATATTGATACTCCTTGCATAAAAACAAGGGCCCGCTGGGATGCCAGTCTTAAGAGATATTTAATGTGAGCTGTACCACTGACATGATTAAGGCGGCAGTATATTATATGGCCAAATGGAAGAAAATGTGCAAGTAAATCGTCATCTGTAATAGAAGATGTGATTCCATGCAAACAAATGACAGAATTGTTTGGATCGGTACTCGGCGATAAGGCTGGTTGTTGTTGACTTAAGTTTGATGTAGTAGGTATTGGTTGTTCGGTTGATGTCTTTTTTAATGCAGATGAGGCATCCTGGTTCCCCCCATTGGCCTGTCCCACTCTCACTTTTCTTTGATTGATTACAATACTTTTGTTGTCTTGAAGAGCGGCTTGTTGTGCTTCAGGACTAACGAACCGTACAAACCCGAAGCCTTTGTTAGCTCCTGTATGAGGATCTGTCATTATTTTAACTTGTTTGACCAAGCCAGGATACTCCTTGTCAAAATGAGTATAGAGTAAGGACTCCGACACATCTGAGGCCAAGTCGCCAACAAAAATTGAGTATTCCTGTTGTGGCTTTGACAATCTTGAACCAGATGCATTGCTGAGGCGATTTCCGGGACCTGCATTGCTCCTTGCATCTCCTCCTGGGTTACTTCCAGAAGCCCAATTCAATTTGAAGAAGCGGGAAGAACCAGGAACTTGTGCTCTATGTTTTGAAATGGCACTCGCAACGGCATTCAGACTTGGAAAAGTCACGAAGCAGTACTGCAGTTTTCCCATTTTGTCTCGGATGATCTTTACTGCAGTTGGCTCTTCGCCCATTTGTTTCCATAGGTCAGCTATAGAAGCCTCTGTCCATTGAGGATCCAAATCGCCCATCCAGAGTTGGTTTTCCGCTTGCATCTGCGAATATGCTTGTTGATATGCGTCTTTATGTGGCCGTTCTTGATATCTCGACGGTCTGTATGATCTATCACCTTGAGGTTGATACCTCGAGCCTCCATTGAAATTCTGGTTATGTCGTTGGCCGTTGTTTCCTTCATAGCTGTTCATTCCCCCATTCCTTCTCGGGCGGTACAGATCCCCTCCCAGTCGGTGTCCCCCTCCTTGATAGTAAGACATGGTAAAGAGAGATGTTCGTAAGAGGATCTTAGATGTAGTTTGGAACCTGCAGGAACTGCACTTCAGCCATGGTGATGTCGGAGAATCAATTCGACGTTAACAACGATGGGAACACTTCATAATCTCAAATAGCCAGTTCCACTCATTAACCTGTTCGATTAAATGTAACTGCTTGATAGTCTTTATTTTGAAACGTGCTTAATTTACATAGCATACCTTTATAGCTCATTACCGTTAGTGTCGGACAAGCATAGGTTTTCTCCCTTTCATTTTTACATATAAGGGTCAGGTCTAAATAATCAGACTTTGGCATCTCTTAGTTTCTGAAAAATTCTACTACCAACAATAAAATGAATGTATCACCATAAGTTGTTTTCCTGCACATCAGTTGCACATTACCACTGTAGGAGTGTGCCCAATGAAAATGTGAGAAAAACCAATACCGAAACATCAATCTCAAACTATGTTCTCCAGAGTCAACGCCCGCCAGGCTCTTCGTGTGGCCAAAAGATTCCAGTCACATGCTGCTCCAGAGACTAAATCGGCCCCATTCAACAACAAATACAACTTCAACATAAATCCACCTCCAGTGCATCAGTACTGGAACATCCGTAATGCTTCGGTCCTTTTTGCATTTGTTCCGCTTTATCTTGCAGTCGGCTACTTGGGCAAATACACTGGAGCCAACTTGTATGGTTTTGAAGCATTGTTGGACTTTGCTGACTCTGAAAAATCTCCAATGAAGGAACTCAAGTTTGGTGAGCCACAACAGTTGAAGAAATAATCCAAGACATAGCATATTTATTCATCAATCTCACTGTGGTAGCACTGACCACTCCTTCAGATGCATTTACTCATTACTACAATACACTTTGGGCTAACGTATTCTGTAGCTGACTGGAACTGCTGTCTGTCGGACTCTAAGGTCTTCAAGGGCAGGTCATTTCTCATGAAGTATCCTTTTTAACGTTCTGTTTCATTGAAGAATGTTTCTTCTACAAGTTGGATCACTGTCTGTAGGCTTCAGATGCTGTACATGCACTTGACTCTTGAACTTCAATGCGACTGCGACCACAATACGTATTCGATTCACAATACACATTACACAACATATAGATGTTTCGTATCTATGTAAGTTTGTCTTTCACTTTTTTCTCAAATCCTCCAATGTATCTTAGATCCCCAAATTGTTTGTAAACCATTGACTGGAGAGACGGCATAATAGTCGTGTGATGCACAATTACTTTTCATGAGATTCCATTGGGCAGAAAATCTCAAAAGGTACTTTGTCAACTCACCTCACAAAACAAGTTAACGCCTGAGATGTTGTCCAGATTAGGCTTGAGATCCACCACGAGGATCTCTCTTGCTTCTATTAGACTGTTGACAACTAAAACCACAATCACTGATCATGCCACAGGAAAAGTCATCACATTGGCGGACCCAGAACACCCTGAACTTGCGGACTATCAGAACCCAAAGCCGGTTTTGGCACAGACCAAAGATCCATATGCCAAGTACGACTTCCAGCAGTTGAGAAGAAACAAGAATGAACCTCTTAACATTGACGACGATTTGTATGACATGTGGTCTCCTGACTACTACCAGTTTGTCTCTGACAAGACTGCCTTGAAGCACAATGCCATTTTCTTTTCTCTTGTCATTGGTTTTGGTTTGTCCATCTACTTTTTCGAACTTAATCCTGAAAAACCAGCCATGCCAAGATCCTTCCCATACGGTGGATTGGCCAAGGAGTTGGGTTCCGGCAGTGCTGAAACTGACTACTTTTACAGAGTGAAGCCAGATGAGGCTGCTGAAGCTGCTGGTATTTTGCCCGAAGATGCTGACATTAAGAACCAGAGAGCGACATACGAACAGGCCAATGCTGACTTTATCAAGGTCTAGGCTCTTTATCTTTGATACTTTTTTTCATCCCCGAAGGCATATTTATTCATCAGAATATCACAAACATAAGATCATGATTAATTACTTTGTAGAGTACCCGCCTTTGCTTCCTGTCCCATGTCTATGTTGACCACTGTGACTAGTACTAACTGTTCGCGCATTTATTACCTGAACTGACATCCTAAGGAAACCCAGCACTCATCATACAAATTGCTGAGAAACTTAGCAGTGGAGCTTAGGTTGAAATGCCCTTAATTTTCCGAAGAATAATTGGTGGCAATGTTCATGGAAGGAGGTATCTCTTAATTTCAACCATTGAATATCGCATATTGTTTGAAATGTCAAACCGAGCTGATCGGGCGGAAACCTGAAAAGGACATTCCTGATACATCAGTCCCGCAATTGTATTATACGCGGCGGGATCATTGCTCGATTGGTCTCCCTTCCTTAGACATCTCGTTGTTTCGACTAGCCCTTATTGCCTTTCACCATCTACTTGGACTGCATACATCAACGGGCCAAATCTTTCATCGTAAACTATCTTCAACTTCTGGTTGCCACAAAATATCACCAAATTCTACCATAGATCATGGCTGATACAGGAGGGCGAAAAAGAAGCGGCAAGTTCGAGTCCCCTCTGTCCTCTGGTCTTAGGAAGAGGGCGAGAGGCGCTGTTGCTGATGATTCTTTCAATCTGAAAAGCACAAATGGGAACGGCACTCAGCTGGCGTCCACTAACCATGGCAAATCCCAGTCAACTAGCTCGTCTGACCTTGCTAATGGTGGATAGACTTGTTGACGTTATTACAAGATTCAATTTATATCTCAATGAGTTATTTCAACTAAAAGAGTACGGCTCTCTTGTGGAATGGAATCCTTCTGACTTTTCCTTTGCCACAAACAATCAACTTCCAGAAATATTTCAATACTTTGTGGATCTGCATAACTACAAGCTAATTTGGGATGAGTCCCTGTTGGAAAACTGGGATAGTATTCCATTGCGTTTGCAAAAGAAGAAACTTCAAGAACGAGAAGCGAAACTTCGAGAGAAATATCCGTTCATGGACATTGTTCTTGAACGCAGTAGACAGCGTGAATATGACATTCTAAATTCCCTTGAAGAAAATCCTACTGCTTCCCCGGAACCGGCAGAAGTCCAATCTAAAGTCCAATCTAAAGTCCAAGTCAAGAAAGCCATTCCAGAATCCGATGAAGAATCTAATTCACCTTCTGCTCCAAATTCAGATCACGAATCAATAAGTTCTGTTGACCTTTCGGATTTAGATACGACTACGACATACAAGCTCAAACAGGTGGTGTACACTATTCCTCCACCCATCATCACCCATCCATCGCATATTCCATCTTGGTCACCACAGGAAAATGTAGATCAAGCTATTCATGGTGATAATGAGACATCGCAAAATGTCTTATCTTACAGTCCAGAACCATTGCGGGTTGTATCAAACCACAAAGAAACTCTCGCAGTCCCGGCTGTGGAAAGTAAAAATTGAAAATTTCTTGAAAAACAAATTTCGGGCTGCCATCATTGATTGATTCTGGAATTGAAGTCTCCAATTCACCAGAAGAGGCTTCTGAAATTTCTAGAACAAACCAGAAGCATTTGCTTAAGCGACTTTATGAAAAGGTAATGGTAGAAGAGAGGTTTGAACTCAATGGGGACAAGATTGAAAGAAGAAAAATCATGTTACCGAACACTAATGCTAAAATAATGCTGGATCCTTTCAGGGATAATGGTGCTGTTATTCCCAAAATTCAAGGAGCTAGTAACGACCAAACCTACCAAGATCATTTTGTGGCTCAAGGGATGACTTTTTCGAGGATTCACCAGCAAATGAGAAGGCTGCACCAAGCTCGAGGTAAGAAAGTTGCTCAAATGATCGAACAACACTTCAGGAAGAAAGCCGGAGAGAAAGAAAGACTTGCTCGTGAACGGGAACAAAATTTGAGAAGAATTAGCAGACTTGCGATTCAAGCTGTTAAAAAGAGATGGTCGCAGGCGAACAAAGTCTACAGAATTCTACAACATCAAAAGGAAGAAGAACTCAAACAAATTGAGGGCCGTGAACATTTGAGTAAAATGCTTGAACATTCCACGCAACTTTTGGAGGCACAATTGAATCGTTCATCGAGAGAGAATACTGAGACCGAATCAATATTAGATTCTGATGACGATGAAAGTAGTGACGAAGATTCTGAGAATTTCAGCAGTTCCAGTTCTGAGTCTGAGAAAGAGGACCAAAATGATGTCGAGGCTGATAACGGTTTGACAGTTGCAGAATTGAAAAAGAAGTATGCTGGGATAGAGACAGCGTCGTCTTCAACATCTCCTTTACCTGCGGAGGAGAACATTAATGGGAGCTTGAAAACCCTCGACTCTAATCATGAGACCGCCACAGTTTCTGCAGAGTATACTGAAGAACAAAAGAAGCTTATCAAGTCTATTTCTTTGCAAAAAAATGACCTTCTTGACTCAGATGAGTACTCCGATTCTTTGTCTGAAGAGAGCTCTGACCAACTGTCTAGTTCCGAATCTGAAAACTCGGATGAATCAGGTTCCGAAATGGAAGATGAACCTACATCTCTCGCTGCGCTTTACCTGTCCAATGGTGAAACAAAAGAAGAAGAGATGTCCGACGTATCTATGGATGAAGCAAAAGATAAAGCGGAATCTCCAACAGACTCTAAAGAAGAAAGTGACAAGGATGAGAAGGTTGAGGAGATCAATGGATTCAAAGTTAAAGAAGTTCCTACTCCACCACTCCTTAGAGGTACATTACGTCCTTATCAAAAACAAGGATTGAACTGGCTAGCGAGCTTGTACAACAATAATACTAACGGAATCCTTGCTGATGAGATGGGATTGGGTAAAACAATTCAAACAATCTCACTCTTGGCATACTTGGCTTGTGAACATCACATCTGGGGTCCTCATCTTATCATTGTTCCCACTTCCGTTATGTTGAACTGGGAGATGGAATTCAAGAAGTTTGCCCCCGGATTTAGAGTTTTGACATATTATGGATCTCCTCAAGAGAGAGCTCGTAAAAGAAAAGGTTGGAATAAAATGGATGCTTTCCAATGTTTGCATTACATCATATCAATTGGTGGTACATGATCATTCATCGTTCAAACGGAAAAAAATGGAGATATATGATTTTGGATGAGGCTCACAATATTAAAAACTTCAGATCAGCTAGATGGCGGGCATTATTGAATTTCAACACAGAGAACAGGTTGCTTTTGACTGGTACTCCTCTACAGAACAATCTTATGGAATTGTGGTCTTTACTATATTTCCTCATGCCTTCCTCTAAAATTGATCAAATGATGCCCGATGGATTTGCTAATTTTGAAGATTTTCAACAGTGGTTTGGAAAACCTGTTGACAAGATCTTAGAGAAGACAACAACGGGTGATATCATAGATGAGAATGTGACAAAACAACTAGACAAAGAAACGCGAGACACAGTGGCCCGTCTCCATCAGGTCCTTCGTCCATACTTGTTGCGCCGTTTGAAAAAGGATGTTGAAAAACAAATGCCAGGAAAGTATGAGCATATTGTTTACTGTCGATTATCTAAAAGACAGCGATACCTATATGATGATTTTATGTCTCGTGCTAAAACAAAAGAAACCTTGTCTTCAGGTAATTTCTTGTCGATTATCAATTGCTTGATGCAATTGAGGAAGGTCTGTAACCACCCAGATCTATTCGAAGTGCGGCCTTATTGTCACGTCGTTTGCGATGAATAAAGAGTGTGGTTAATTCGTTTGAGAACAATGATAAGTTGGTTAGGAAACATCTTTGTCAGCGGACCTTGGCAGAACTAAAGTCAATTTGAGTGTTTTGAATTTTGACATCACAGGCCATGAAACATCTTAACTATTTTGCTTGGCGAGGCCACGAACCGTTATGAAAAAGTACTCTGAAATTAGAAGAGCAAGTGAAAATCCTAGATGGCGTTATCGAGAAAGGAAACGGAATCGAGAATCCATCCCTGGGATGATATCTTAGAAGTGAACAGGTTCTTAAAGCTTGAGGAACAGGTTAGTCTTCGTGACAGATTGCAACTGGCCGAGGGTTTACTTGAACAATTTAAGATGTCTGCGTGCTCCATTCTTTGGTGAATCCTTTTTGAAATTCGTGCAGGGTGCGACGGATTTCAAGAGGTGTGACACTTTGGAGCAAATGTCTCTCAATGTTACTCAATGGAGCATCAAAATGGACGAAGTGGTGGATAAATTTGCAATGGTTACTCCTGCTGCTGTTGCGTTGGATATGAAAGACCAGATCATCCCCCTTGATACACAAGTTTTGGTTCGTAGCGAAGTTGAAAGCAATCACATTGAAAATCCGTTCCATCATGCTCAGGTAAAACTTTCCGTTGCCTTTCCAGACAAGCAGCTACTTCAATATGATTGTGGTAAACTTCAAAAATTGGCGACATTACTCCACGATTTAGTGGCTAATGGACATCGTGCACTTATATTCACACAAATGACGAAAGTGTTGGATATTTTGGAACAGTTTTTGAACTTCAGAGGATATCGTTATATGCGTTTGGATGGTGCAACTAAAATTGAAGATAGACAGTTGATGACAGAGAAGTTCAACCGAGACCCCAAAATTCCGGTATTCATCTTATCAACCCGTTCTGGTGGTTTAGGTATCAATTTAACTGGTGCGGACACTGTCATTTTCTATGATTCTGACTGGAACCCAGCTATGGACAAGCAATGTCAGGATCGTTGTCATCGTATTGGTCAAATGAGAGATGTTCACATCTACAGATTTGTGTCGGAGTACACAATTGAATCAAATATCTTGAAGAAAGCCAACCAAAAACGACAGTTAGACAATGTTGTTATTCAAGAAGGTGATTTCACTACTGATTATCTTGGTAAATTCTCAGTCAGAGATTTGGTCAATGATACAAGTATTATATCTGACTTGCCTGATAAGCCTATTGGTGAGAATGCCAATATTGAACTTTTGGCTCAGGCAGAGGATGAAGCCGATCGTGTTGCCGCGAAGGAGGCTATGAAGGAAGTTGCTGTGGATGAGGATGATTTCAATGAGGATAGTAAGCAAGGAACCCCTACGCCAGGAAAACCTAAAAGGGAGGAAGGGGACACCGAAGATGGAGACTATGATGAAGGTGTGGGTCATATTGATGAGTACATGTTACGGTATATCGGAGAAGGATTCTATGTTGAATGAGGAAACGAACGCTTGTGTATAATATATAGAGCTTGCATTATAAAAGTATAAATATCGATTTGAGTATATCATTTATCTACGACATTTTCCCCTTTTGAACTATCCAACTGAGCATTTGATTTAACTATCGAAATGCGGTGTACGCAAATTGCAAGTGAGATCACGTGTGCTATATGCCAGAATTATCGAACGAACGGAGTTGTTCATCAAGATAACGCACTGAGCACACTAAACCGAATAGCCTAATAATGTCGTCCAGTATCCAATCCTTGTTGAAAACCGAAAAGGAAGCCGCTGAAATCGTCAATGAAGCCAGAAAGTACAGAACATCTCGCTTGAAGTCCGCCAAGGCAGATGCCCAAAAAGAGATTGACGAGTACAAGGCTCAAAAGGAAGCTGAATTGAAAAAGTTCGAAGCTGACCATGCTGGATTGAACGAATCCATTGAAAAGGAAGCTGATGCTCAAGTTGAGAAGGAATTAGTCGAAATCAAGGAAAAGTACAACCAGAAGAAAGATGCTGTTGTCAAATTGTTGGTAGAGGCTGCTACTAAGCCTGCTCCAGAATTACACATCAATGCTTGAGGGCCATTTGGTTTGAACCAACATATTTAGTTCTATTTTAAGTAGATTTGTGGCCGGAAAGTTCTTTTCAAGCTTGGAAAGGCTACCAATTTAATCAATTTGTTTATCAATGTAATTGGTCTCTATAAAATTCATGCTCCGCCCTTAGCCATTTTCTTAAAAGCCTTGAGCACCTCCCATATACGACTGTCGTAACTGGCAATGTTGAGAGCATTGACGAACCCCCATGCCTTTTTATCATCTGCAATTGGGTAGTCAATTGGAGGAGGAATAGATGTCTTAACACCAAACGCCCGCAATAATGGCTTGTCCATAACCACAGATTTAGCATTACAAAGGCCTGTTAAGCCTTCTTCGCCGCCGAACTTTCCATAGCCGGATTTTTTGCATCCTCCGAAAGGTAACTGGCAGACGTAGAAAGTAGCAAAATCATTGATGGCCACATTGCCGCTCTCCAACCGTCCTGCTATCTCGTCGCATTTGGCGAAATCGTTTCCAAAGACTGAATTTCCCAATCCATACTCAGTTCCATTAGAAATTTCGACAGCGTCGTTGATATCTTTCGCTTTCATTATGGTGAGTATAGGGCCAAAGACTTCATTTTGAGCAATTTTCATAGTCGGATCAACATCCACCAAGAGAGTTGGCTCAAAGTAATGGCCTTGCGGGTAATTTGGATGCAGATATCTTTTTCCACCATGCAAAAGCCTAGCACCTTTAGAAACTGCATCTTGGATCATTTCTTCAAACTGATCGAATCTATTGTCAGATATCATGGCCCCCATGTCGATCTCATCCAACTGATCGATGTCTGAGCCAAGTCTAAAACTCTTGATTCTCTCATTTAAGATTTCCACCAACTTATCGTACGCTTCGGGTAGACAAATGACCCTTTCAATCCCAATACAATTTTGACCCGCACTTTGAAAAGTGCCTCTCAAGATAACAGACGATAATGCTTTAAGATCAGCCACATCGTCCATGACAATAACAGAATCCTTACCTCCTAATTCAATCACGCATGGAGTTAATTCCTTTGACGCGCTCTGTAACACCTTGTGAGCCACTGGTTTCGATCCGATAAACGTGATATGCTTCAAACCAGGATGCGACGTGAAGTAATCAGCATTTTCTGGGAAGCAGTAGCATAACTGAACAAGGTCTTCACTGATACTAAGCAGCCGGAGCGCTGCGTGAATCATGCCCACGAACCATGTAGAGGACCATACAACTTGTTCTGAACACTTGACAACTATGGCATTGCCACTGAATAAAGCAGCAACAACAGGTCCTATAAGGTTATGCAACGGGTAGTTCCATGACACAATTGCAGCAACTACACCGAGTGGTTCGTATCTCACTTCTGCATTCTTCATAAGACCCATTAGTAAAGAAGACGGCCCTGGTCGAGCTGAGGGACGCAACGCTTTCTCTCCATGGGAAATGATCCAGCTTATCTTCTCTAAAGTTACCATGATTTCTCCCATTGAGGCATCTAATTTTGTCTTTCCGCTGTCTCTGCACGCGACCCGAGCAATCTCTTCTTGGTTGTCAAGAATAAATTGATTGATAGTCTTCAATAATTGTTTTCTCAATACAAAGGATGATTTTTTCCATTCCTTTTGTGCATCAGATGCTGCCTTGATTTGGTGATCCATTTCATCTGTGGAAATGCAAGGAAACGTACCTAAGAACTGGCCAGTAGCAGGACAATAACTTTGAATCTTTTGAGGCTCTCCATTGACTCTCAACCCAATATTTGGCGGATAGAGCCTCTTTCCCTTCCAATGGGGTTTCGCTTCATCTGGAATGGGATACACAAGTTTTTTGGGTGCCTCAAGTTTGTTATACTTGTTAGGGCGTCCCGTGATGTACTTCTCGTATACATAGTAGACGCTAGGAACAATCACGCAAACGAAAAAAGTTGTAGAGATGTGATACTGCCATTGGAAGTCGGCGAAATTGAGATCTATTGCGATCATATTGATTGAACCCTTGGCTGGCCAACTATGTGAGAAAAGATAAGTAGAATGTTGCCTGAGTTCATGATCTCTATGTGCAAGCTCGCTCGTTTATGCTGGGTCAGACAACTCTCCATGTATACAAATATGAAATTGAAAAGAACGAAAAAAAAAAAGTTTAAGAGTTATCATACAAAGAAGGTCATATTTCATAGCCAATTCATTTAGTAAGTGTTCTATAGTTCGCGTTAAGTTTACTTACAACTTTGTTTTGAAAAGGTGAAATACTTTCGTGCAAGGCCCTTGTGTGTCGTCATACATGATGAAGTTGGCGTAACTTGTTACTCATTGGGTACGTCGTCATCATGGGGCATATTATCGGCATCTGTAATAAAGTCTTCAAACTCGGCAGCACTTCGGTTTTGAACAATTGCACTGATTATGTTGTGATCAAGGTAGTCGAAAAGCGAATCTGTGACTTTTCCGCTTTCCTGGACGCCTGTGAAAACATCATAATTGGCAGCTTCATCACGGGGAGGAATAACATCGTATTCCAAGATATCACTTCTGGAGAAAATCTTCTCTGGGATTTTCGCAAGAACTTTATTCTCTCCAGACAAGATGGCGAACCTGATTAGATTTATTGGAATATCGGTCGATTCTTTCGTATTAAACCATTTACCTAGCCAAGAAGACTTTGATCCCTCGCTCTGTGTTTTAAATAGCTTCATGAGCTCATCATGAAGGAATTGTCTATGGTTCTGTTCTTTCCAGAGAATACTAGCTCGTACAAGATAAGTTTCACTAGCCAAAATGATCGAGTCATCTTTATGCACTTCACTGACTTTCACTGGAGGTTTTGTTGCTAGTCCAACAACAGCAAGGAGTTGTAGAGAGCAATAGTTGTGAGCAGAAAAGGCATCCTTGAGTGCGGCACGAGCTTTGTCCGTTTGTCCCAAGTAAAGAAGGGCAAGAACTTTGGAGAAGGCTAGCCCGGGAGTAAACCATTGAGAATATGTGCTTGTGAGAGGTGAGTCGACCAAGTCAATTAAATATTGATATTCCTCGCTTAAAATAGCATAATGGTCGATAAAAAAACGGACCCCCAAAGGATCTTCTGCCGGAGACAAAGATAACATGAATTTACAGTAATTCAAGGCAGTGTAGAAAGTGTTTCTTTCTCCTAAAGCAGAAATCATGCGGAACAAACAGAGATAAAACTGTCTGTTCATGAAGCTCTCGTATGGAAGTCGTAAAAGTCCAGTTCGCCCTTCACAAAGCATTTCATGGAACGTTTTATCAAAGCTTCTGTCGAAAACAAAGAGGCATTTTTCAACTAAAGCGAAACTGGTAGCCTTGTTGTTGCCCTGTCTCAACATAACCATTGCAACCTGCAAAAGTGTCTCAACATGGTAAGGATGTTGCTGTAAAAGTTGCATCAACGATTCAGGGTCTGGCGTCATTACCACAGAGGCATAAAACTTGGAGTTTGCCATACGTTCTGTAACCGAATTGATTTTGTTGAACTTGAAATAGCGCACTCCTATATTCTTTTCGTGTGCAACCTTCTGAGTGAGAGCATCGAACTCCTCGTTTTCCTCCTTATAGTACATCGTGTCAACTACCTCACGTTCTGATAATTCGGTCATTGATAATGGCTTCTGGGCGACGGGTATCCAGTCATCTTTTATTCTTGTTAGCAACAACTTTCGCTTTGTTCCAGGTACACTTTTATGGTCCTTACCACCCCAACCTCTGGTAAGACGGGCCAACTTTTTGAATTGGGCTAAAACTTCTGGGGAAGTGGCCAAAGATGTAGTACTATTGGCATCCTCTATTGTTTCAATGGAAAGGTTTCCAAATAAGTTTTGGAGTTCCGTGTCAGGATCTAAATCCTTAGCGGAACTAAGCGAGAGTAATGGCAAACTTTTCTTTAATCTTGAAGTAGTGAAGTACAAGTAATTCGAATCAGAATACAAGACAGGTGTATCAGCATCGTCATATATGGTTTCTGACTCAATAACAGTTGAAGCGACGGAACTTGAGCTTTTTAATTGTTCTAGGTCTCTCTTTCTAACTTCTTCCAAATACTTGTTCAAGTCTTCGTCTTCATCCTCAACGGCTCTCTTCTTGTTCTTTTTACTTTTCTTGCTTTTTTTCAGCTTCACCTTGGAAATTCCCTCCTCCCTTTTGCCATCATTAACATATTGATCGTCTTCCTGGGCGACAACGTTTCCGCTTTCTTTCTCTTCTGTCTCGTCTTCAGAGCCGCTTTCGCCACCTAAAAGGGCGAATACATTTGCCTTCTTGGATGAAGAAGGCTCGCGTTCACTTTCAGTCTCAAAATCGCTAGTTTGTGAGCTTCCAGAGTCCTGTAATCTTTCTAACTTTCTTAACGCACGAGTACTCATTATTTGATCAATATATTTCGCAGTATCTTGTAAAGTCCAACATGGAGTCTAATGTGCAGAACTATCGAATCGCATTATGCACTTTCCGAACTAACTACAGCGAATACAACAAACTCTAACTTGCAAAACTGGTTAAACTTTTGATTTCTATTTACTATGGAAACTCTTAGGCAACGAAGTTCTCCCGAAAGCTACCTGCGCTTTTCTTATCATCGCCCTTCTCTAGGATCAATTTGATAACGTCATCAACGTTTGCTGATTTGCCGAATTCTGTCTCCAATTCAGCTTTAGATGCTTCGTCCAAAACACCATCGACCCCTCCCTGTCTATTGACAAAAACCTTGAAAACAGAAATAAAGTCTGACAATGGAATTGTAGTGTCTCCACTTCTGTACTTCTTGATTAATTCTGGGTTTTCGGTGAAGATGACAAAGTCGTATTCCGAGCCCTTGTAAAAGATTTTGTGAGGTTCAGCCATAGTGGTTCTATCAATGAGTATTCAATTGTAATGAGAAAGCTAAAGATACGGATGCTTTATATAGTGTTCCTACGGTCACACTAGCAATAAAGGGAAACCTAATACACAGTACTAGCAAGAAACACACATCGAATGATGTCATGCCGGAAACGAAAATATTGGAATGTTCTATTGTCCCACTAGACAAGGCTACAATACACAACAATTTGTTTGCAGTTAATCGCTCATATTGCTCATATTGGCGTTTTAATCATTATCAGTGGACAATTGGATTCAACGTGGGGAAAAAAAAAAGTTAGTGAAGGATGCGAGGTTCGAACTCGCGCGGACGTACGTCCAAAAGATCTTAAGTCTTCCGCCTTAGACCACTCGGCCAACCCTCCATTAATATACAGTTTTCAGGCTTGTAGTTTATACTGTTTGCTACTACTATTGTTAATAGTTTTCCACATTTGGCCCATGTAGTTACTACTAGTGTTTTCGTTATTATATTCTATGGGTATATCTTTGTATTCGTCTATAGTAGTGGAGTGATAAATTGTTATGGAACATCATCCGCAGCCTTATTTTGGATCGATGATAACCGCATGCGTGCCCATATACTTCTCAAGAAATTGTTCTCCATTTATAGTTCTCACCTCATCTTCAGTGACATATTTATTTAAGGTATCGAAAACCCTTTCTTCGATCTCTTTCCTCTCAATTTCAGGAAGGTCGGTAATGTAAGATCTTGTTTCCCAATACTTGTATACATCGTTGTATTTGATGGGGATACGATAAAATTGAAATATCTCTTTGCTTATGGGCTTGAAATAATCGTTATTCCTTAGAACCTCTTTCCACTTTCCGTGTCGGTATTGGGGAACGCCTTTGTCTAAAGAATAAATAAAATTGACGATTTCATGGTTCCATTTATCGTGGTTAAATATTTTTCGGGCGTATTCGTAAGGGTTTTGGCTGTTGATCTTGTAGTCACCTACAACTTCATAACTGGTGTTTTCTGCGAGTTTTTGGCTTTCCGACTCCCCATCGAAATTCCAGATAAACCCAACTCGGCCACCTTGTTTTAATACTCTTCTCATTTCCTTTAAGGACTCTGTGTCACTAAACCAATGGAAACCTTGGGCAACTATAATTGCGTCCACAGATGAATCTGGTAGGGGAATGCCGTAAGAAGAACCTTGGATAGCCTCTATCTCTGGAAAACGCTCGATGAAGCTGTCCAACATGCCTCGTGATGGTTCAACAACTCTAATATTTTTCATACCACGGTCAACCAATTTTGCAGTGAACTTCCCTGTCCCAGCAGCGATCTCCAAGATCTGACTCTCTTTGGAAATATTCATGTTGTCTGTGAATGCTCTCACGATTGCATCCGGATACGTGGGGCGTAATTGGTCGTAGGACACATGATTTGCATTGAAGGAATTGACAGCAGTCGGATGTGCTCTCGTATTGGAAATCATTGCTTTCAACAACTGGACACTTTGTCTCATAAAAGATGATGGATACAATGTGTCAAACTTCCCCGCCCGTCAATTTATATGTGATCAAGAAGAACATGCAGGATGCATGCAGGGTGTACTTCGGAGATCCAATTTACTTATCGAGGCCGATCCGGGAACAAGGATAGCATCATAGTATACTTCATAATAATGTGTGGTAATTTACATTCATAATTGTCCGATATAGTGTAACGGCTATCACGGTTCGCTTTCACCGAGCAGACCCGGGTTCGACTCCCGGTATCGGAGTTTTCTTTTTTTCATCGTGGAAAGTGATTTACTTAAGACAATACCTTCAGTATACAAAGAGGTATCAAAATACATGTTTTTTCAAGTGGTTGTAATTTGTATTGGTTATACATACGCTTACTTCTTCTTGCTAGCAGTCTTTCCATCAGGAATAGTGAACAAGACAACCTCATCTCCCTCAGAGAGGTCCTTGTCAACTCTGAAGTAACCCTTTCTCTCAAATTGAATAATGTCACCCTTCTTCAAAGATCTGACATTGACATCAGCAATAGCTTGACTTGGGAATTCAGTCTCTGGTGTAATGAAGTCCTCAAAGTTGTCACCTTCTTCCAACTTGTCTTTCGTGATCAAGTGATCAAAGTCAACCAACTTAACCTTGATCTTGTCAGGGGTATCAGCCAACCAAGTGACTTTCTTTTCAGTCTTACGGAAGTCACCTTCTAAGTGCAACTCAGCATCGATAGATTTGACGATGTCCCCCTCCTTGTGGATTTTCTTAATGATCACGTTACCCCAATCCATAAATGTAATCTCTTCACCTTCAGCGAATGTCTGCGCATCAGCTTGGTCAACCAAAACGTCCTTAGCATAAATGACTTTCTTCAAGCCAACTTCAGGGTTCTTCTTGTGCTTAGGCTTTTCCTCAGAGTAAGGTTCTGCTGGTCCGTTGGAGAGCTTAACAGGAACAACGTTTTCAGCGTCAACAGCAGTGTGACGAGGGGCAACTGGGTCAATAACCTTCTTGTTTAAAGCCCAGATACTCGACCAATCAAGGTTGATGATGTTTCTCGAAGGACCTTGAGCGATGATGAAGTTTCTCAAACCCTCAACAGTCATACCTCTTCTTCTCACACCTCTAACAGTTGGGAAACGAGGGTCATCCCAGTTTCCAACGTATCCCTTGTCAACAAACCATTGCAATTTTCTCTTGGACAAGAGTGTTCTGACGAAGTTCACTCTACCGAAGTCCCAAATGTCAACATGACGCAACTTCAAGGCGTTTTGAATCCACTCATATTGCGGGTTACGGTCTCTGTATTCGTTCGTTCTCAAAGCATGGGTGACACCTTCAATAGAGTCCACCACTGGGACACAGAAGTCATAAGTTGGATACATCTTCCACTTAGTACCAGTTCTGTGGTGAGGTGTCAAATTACATCTGTAAATGACTGGGTCTCTCATAGCCTTGTTCAAATCCTTATAGTCGATTTTAGCTCTCAAACAATTCTTCAAACCCTCTTCAGTACCGTTCTTCATTTCCTCAGTGAATACTCTCAAGTTTTCCTCCACAGATCTATCTCTTCTGGCAGATGGCTCACCAACCATTCTCTCCTCTCTCATCTTCTCCAAAGGAGTGTCATCACAATAAGCGTTACCATCTTTGATCATTTTCAACGCCAATTCATACATTTGATCAAAGTAATCGGAAGAGTAAGTCACTTGATCACCTTTGATGCCCAACAAAGCCAAATCTTCAATGATGGAGTCTTGAAATTCAATTCTTTCCTTAGTTGGGTTCGTGTCATCAAATCTGATAATCAATTTACCCTTATAAGTGTGAGCGAAGTACTCGTTCAATACGGCTGCTTTAGCATGTCCAATATGCAAGTATCCAGAAGGTTCAGGTGGGAAACGAGTAACAACCTTACCCATTTGAGCATTTGGCAAATCAATAGCGAAATTAGCCTTGTGGCCCTCCTTCTTCTCGCCCTTGGCGGCCTTCAAGTTTTTTCTCAACTCATTGATGGATTTGGTGGTCTTGTCAGCGACATCAAATTTGGAGTCAAGGGCAATAAAACTGTACCATCTAGAGATGTTGGAGTAGACAGCGTTCTTGATGACAGAACCCATGACAGCATTGGCTCTTAAAACACCCCAGACGGCAATATCAGCCAATGAGTAGGAGTAACCAACAATAAAAGATCTAAAGTTCAAGTGAGTGTCCAATTTCTCCAAGTCAGCAGCTAAAGCTTTGAAGTTTTTGTTGGCCAATTTTCCCAAGGCGAACTCTACCCAAGAAAGGCTAGAGTCTACAGAGGAAGAGATTGATGGGATCAAAGCAGCGAGTCCCTTCAAAGACTCCAATTCACCGGAATAAGTCTTTTCACCAACGACCAACTTTGCAGTAGCGTCAGATCCAGACTCAACAGATTTCTCATCCACGAATTCAACGGTCAACGAGACATCGGTTTCAGCCTTAACGAACTCAGACGCAATTATAGTAGAGTAAGGGATGAATGGCGCCTTAGCGGCAACAGTCAAAGTAGCCATAGTTGTAGAATGGGAAAGCATTTCCAGAAATGTAAAGGTTTGGAAAAATCCTCATCTGTGGTCACGTGAGACGCTTGGAAAAGGAGGTATAGAATGTAGATTCTTTGGGTTACATAGCCTCGTAGTTCTATTAACAAAACTTAACATGAGTATTCTAATTGAGTAGCTTCTCGTTATAGAAGGAATGAGAGAGAACTTTGCTTTTTTTGTGTTTTTAAATACTCATTTCTTTCTTGTTTCTGCGAATAATCGCCAAAATTGGGGTGGAATAAAAGATATCAGTACGAGAAACAGCACGCCGAACATAAATGTAAAAGTACACTAGCTATATCACTTTCAAGTTAGACGCTAGAAGAACATATTGAACATCAAGTTTATTCGCTTTCTGTTGTTATACTTCTTGCAACGTGCGGTTTAAATGAGTTGGGGCTTTAAGCTAATAGTACACGTGACCATCTTTAGGTAAGAAGCGAAATAGGCGAAACTTCCAGACCACAATACGTTCCATAAAGACAGCGCTTGTCGCTCAAGATGTCTATCAATAGCTCTCAAAGGCCTACAGCTAAACGGTCTCCATCGATCCTCGTTACTGATGCGAGATCACACGTTGTTAATGGTGTTAGAGCACCTTTTGCAGGTCACAATTATAGGAAGCAGCAGCAGCTTCAGCAACAACAATCATTGCATGGGAGTCACCAGCAACCAAATCTGCATTACAGCTTTCGCAGGAAGCTTGCTTCGAGGGCCAACAAATATACGGATATATCTGTCGATAAGTTATTGAGCAATTCTAGCGATATTCCCTCTGGTCAGAGCCGATTACCACTTTTAAACCAGGGCTCGGGACATTTTTCACCTCCTCAAAGAAGTTTATCTCCAAATCCACTGGAGCAGGTCATTGCCCCGGACCAAAGACGCAGAAATATCAGAAGCATTCCCAAACTTTCCCAAAGTTTGCCAATTAGAACATCCAAGACTTCGCAGCGGTTGGTATTGATTCCTGATGAATACGGCGCTACCCCTACTGTAAGACTTGAATCCTCTCTACAAGGAAGTGATGCCAAGATTGCAGAAGTGCCTCCTCAAACTTATAGAAGCCGCGCAGAACTCATGCTGAAAGAAGCAAGGGCTAAAGAACTCAGCAGAGTGACGGCTTATTTCATTTGTGAAGAGTTCAATTTAGACGCACTTCTGGATTTCTTGAAAAAAAATCACGAAGTGAAACCAAGACTTTATGATGAAGCTCTTTACGTGCCGTATGCTCTCCCGCTTCTTCCTGGGACAGATGGGTTCCGTGTAAAATCGAACGATTCAGCCAAGTCTCTATCGAGCAAACGCTTAGTGGAAAACATGATAAACAAAAGTGAACAGAGAAATCACTTATATGAATACTACTCGGGCGTCGAAACCCCAGAGGATGCCAACAACTACTCAATGGATCCTGAGGAAGGTACGTCTGAAAACAGTGGACCATTTGACCCGTCCGAACCACAGTTTTTCGCTCCGCCCCTATTAGCATCTGACAGCCACAGCGGAAGCAATGAGAGCTTTCAAACACAAAAGTCCTCAGATTCTCTGGACCGTGAGGACGAAGAAAGTAGCGCTCAGTCAAAACATAAACCAAGGGATTCTAAAAGCAGTTCATCGATGGACCAAACAGAACTCACAAAGCATCATGGAGAAATGTTCGTGCTTCGTTATGGTATTGTCGTGTTTTGGAATCTTTCTGAGACACATGAAAAGAACATTTTGGCCGATTTAGCCTTTGCATCGCAGACACCCGAGCCGCTTCTTATCAATCCTATTAGTGAACAGGATATTGAAACTGAGGAGTTCCATTTTGAGTATGATCCTCAGATCAGCCGACCAAGAATCTATAACGACATGATCACCCTCAGAAGTGGAGACCATTTGATCAAATTGACCATGTCGTATGCGATTGCACAGCTGACTAAGCTATGCCTTTTTGAGAGCCGCATGGTCCACAGCTTGCTGCTGATTTCAAAACTTCCAAAGAAGCTTGCTTTGACTGGTAGGCTAGGTTTAAAACGTCAGCAGATTTTGAAAAAGTCGGGAAAACTTTTCAAATTGAGAGTGGATGTCAACCTTTCAAGCTCTATCTTAGATACTCCGGACTTCTTTTGGTCAATTGAACCAGCATTGCATCCATTATACACTGCAGTTAGAGAGTATCTTGAAATTGAGCAAAGGGTTCAAGTTCTCAATGACCGGTGCAAAGTATTCTTGGAATTTTCAAACATCATCAGTGACAGTATTAACGAATCAAGCACGACTAGGATCACTATGATGATCATCATAATCATCTTTTTGAGTCTTGCTGTGAGTGTTTTCGAGTTTGTCTTAGATATACTCTAAGTTTCTGCACGTTCATATACTGGTTATATGACCAAAATTTTTACCACTTAGTTATTACCACTTGTAATCATTATACAACTCCCTTCTTATTCCGAATGGCTCCTTTTGATGACTTTCATGTGTCGAACATTAGCACGGGACACTACTGAACAATACAAATACAAATACACAACGTACAGTATTTGTGTAGATCGCGATCTTAATGTCTCTACCGTCGAAATATGCCCCACAAGGGATTTCCAAAGAATTAGAACGTAAAGTCACAGTGTCAGGCAATCGCCAAAGAAAGAAACCAGTGAATTATGTTTTCCGACATATTGAAAACAAAGTGAACGAAGCTGTGGAGAATCCTAAAAAGTACAATCGCGATGATTATCAAGACATCGAGATGGTTCCAATTGAAGGATCCGAGGAGGTGGAGGTAATTCAGCAATATATCACGGAATCAAGGAACCTGGGGCTTATAAGCCAGTCAGATGATATGGAACTAGATAATTTTTACACTAAAACTGTTCCAGTACATCTCGAAGGAAACGTGTCGTACCTTATCGTAGACACAAACTTTCTTTTATCCCATTTGAAAACTTTAGATGAACTAAAAGCTCTAGGCCCGAGATTTGGCTTGCGCATTATCATTCCGATAGCTGCCATACATGAACTCGATGGACTAAAGAAGGACAATAGGTCCCACCATCATCGCGATTCTAATCTTTCTACTGAATCTGTTTCACACTTAGCAAGATGGGCCAATGATTGGGTATATAAAGCTCTAGCCGATAATTCTTCTACCGTAATGGGACAAAAAGCACATCAGAGGTTAAATAAGCTTGCAATTAAGGATGACGCTATTCTCGACTGTTGTTTGTCTTTCAAAAAAGAGTTTGCCCACTCGCTTCAAGTTCTCTTGTCTAACGACAAGAACCTTTGCATGAAAGCACTTCTGAATGACGTGCTTACAGTCAGCTACCAGAAGAATATGGATGCGAAGCTCATTGCAGAAATGATTCTCAAAGAGAATATTCATCGATTTGGAAGAATCGAACAAAACAAAACTGTCAATCAAGAAATCGAGGTTAAAATTTCACAACACCCGCATAAGATCCAAAATGTCCACGAAACGATTTTCAATGAAATACTGATGCTTGTCATTTCTGTTGTCAAACATTGTATGGAATCAGAATACGGTGACGAAATTGATCTTTTACGTAATTACAATAGTGACAAAATAATTTCATTGAGAAAAGCGACAGAAGTTATTATCGAGTTTTGGCTCCCTGTTTTTTCACTGCATTTACGGCAGATGAAACAATTTACAATTGATCAGTATAAAGACGCCAAAGAAATGTGTGAAACCCCACAGGACAGGCTTAGCCTTGAAGTATTTCTCGAGTTCTGGGTCACAGTTTTGAGAGCTTTATATGACCATGAGATGGACTCCACACAAAAGGCCTCTTTAGAGTCTCTCATCAAAAGATGGCATGAAATGCTCCAGTCTGTATGAGCAGGGACAAAAAACCAATAACCAGAAGTTAGACATCACCGACGAACAATGCCAATTCTTTTCCGTCTTGGGGAGGTCGATTTTTGTTTAATTTTGGGCACCTGTTCCAATGGTTCTAGTTTTATTCTTTTCAGCGTGATACTATCACTGGAAGTGTCTCGTTCCCTCTTTATTACGGGAGGTACAGTTTCAGCAACAACATCCTTTTCCGGATTCGCAATGCTAGATTTCCATGTGTGTTCATCATCCACTGCTGCAGACACAATTCTCCAAAGAAGCAGATGCAGATCAGCGTCTGTATTCTTCAACATCAAATTTCTGAACGAGCTACTAGTGTCCAATTTAGTTGCGTCACTATCATATCTAGTCAACAACTTTGCATCATCTGGACGCTGGCGTCTGTACTTATCTATAAGTTCAGTCCCATTTACAGTTTTGTAGTTTTCTTCCAAATAGAGCATGTAGTTGTCTCTGGTTCTTATCATGGATTCAAGCTTGGCAATTCTGAAAAGCAAATAGTTGTGGTTGGATAGACTATGCGTGAACACTTGGCTGAAGAATAGAGATGTTACTTTCTCGTCAGCTTTGACCAACTCAAAATTCCACACAAGTTCGCTAGAAAGGGGCGCCTTTATTGTAATAGGACCATCAGATGGAGCCGAGAATTCGAGTTTCTGAGCATCATTGAACGCTGTCTCTAACTGAGACAAGAGCAAATCATATTTGGAAGCATCGAAATCAGAAATTCCTTCGGAAAGGGCCAATTTCTGTACCTTTTCTTCTGATGGCTCGTCTAGCCAAAGATTGGACAAATCGGTTACGTAAACTGCGTATGGAGAACGACGGGCAAATCCGTACATATATTGAGAGTCTCCTATCACTGTACACTTCCAAACTGTGGGAAGCAAATGACTATCCATATTAGCCGGATCGAAGATCTAGTTTCAAGACTTGAGAAGCGGACTCAAACACACAAGAGGAGCCTAATCGCTATTGCAGGGATCCCTGGTGCAGGCAAGTCGACATTAGTGGAGCGATTGGCACAAGAGTTGATCCAACGCGACATTACATGCAAGGTATTTCCCCAAGATGGTTACCATTACTACAGAGAGCAATTAGCCGAATTTAAGGATCCGGAGGAGGCATTCCGTCGTCGTGGTGCTCCGTTCACATTTGACTCGGACAGGTTTATAGGAGATATTGAGAAAGTGCGAGACGGTCAAAACATCTGGGTACCGCTGTTTGACCACAGCAAGAAAGACCCCGTGGAGCACAGTATCGAGATTCCGAGTGACACGCAGGTTATCCTAGTTGAGGGAAACTATGTAGGGCTCGACGACGAACCGTGGGCGAAAACGAAAAACTTATGTGACGAGTTGTGGTTCCTAGACACGGACCATGACTTGGTTCGCGAGAGAATCATTAAGAGACATGTATCAAGCGGAGTTGCCCGGAGCGTGGAAGAGGCTACTGAACGGGCTTTGGGTCTGGATTGGCAAAATGCGCTTTACGTTTTACACCACACGAGGATACCTGATGTCGTTATCCGGAGTTAAACTTTAAGCGAGGTGCGAAAGCGCATAATGACATGGTTAACAAATTGCATGGTGTAATAGGCGCATTAGAGGAAGGCAGAAAGGAGAAGTGGTAAACATAGGCAAAAAAAGAGCTGCTCAGCCGGAGGTTCTTTGTAAGAGAGTCTGAATGGGTGCACTATCTTGTACCGTCTATTTGACGGCTAGAACTTCCTCAGTTTGTCATGTTACTTGAGACTTAGGCATCCATCCACGTATGAGCATACTATCCGCGCCTCGTATAGCAAATGCAAAGCCGACCCCGTTCGGTCGTAAAGATATAGAAACACTTAACGAAACAGAAGTACCTACATATGCGTTGGCGAATGGGCCTGAGCACAAATAATCGGACGTTCTTGAATCATACCACCAGAAGAGCCGTTCCCTGTGCACGGTGCAGGCATCCGCCCGAATATATATTCGTCCATTCTGCCTAGTGTTACAAAAAATAGCACTTATCTGGCTAACAATTTACCCACGACATGACTAACATCCACGACACCTCTCGCCCTATCCGCGAGCGTATGGAGGCCTTGATCAGATTGAAACAAAAGGAAATCACCGACGGCCTTGCTGCATTGGACACCAAATCTTTTCACACTGACTGCTGGACCAGAGGTGAGAACGGCGGCGGAGGTCAGTCGATGGTTTTGCAAGAAGGAACTACTTTCGAGAAAGGTGGTGTCAACATTTCGGTTGTGCACGGCACCTTGCCTCCTCAGGCTGTATCGAGAATGAGAGCAGATCACAAGAATTTGAAGGGAAGCGCCGACGGTTCTGTGGGTTTCTTCGCCTGCGGTTTGTCCATGGTGATCCACCCACATAACCCACACGCCCCAACCACTCACTTGAACTATAGATACTTTGAAACAATCGACCCAGAGACCAAAGAGGTTGCCGCATGGTGGTTTGGAGGTGGATGCGATTTGACACCTTCTTACTTGTACGAAGAAGATGCTCGCCATTTCCACCAGGTGCACAAGGATGCTTTAGACAAGTACGACACTAAGTTGTACCCAGAATGGAAGAAATGGTGCGACAACTACTTCTACATTCAACACAGAAACGAGACCCGTGGTGTGGGTGGCATCTTTTTTGATGATTTCGACAGCAAATCCCCAGACGAAATCTTGCACATTGTGGAGGCGTGCTTTGATGCGTTCTTGCCTTCGTATATCCCATTGGTGGAGAAGCGTAAGGACCAAGAATTTACCGAGGAACAAAAGA